CTAACATTCTTTCTATGAGTGATGATGATTTACAGATTCTTCGTAAGCCAGTTCTATTACCTTTCTCCTAAATGTATTTCTAATCAGGCTACAACAAAGCAACTCCCTATTGGCTAATTTTGTTCATTCCAAGAGTAATTTTTTGTTGTTAAGAGCAGAGTCATGGATCATCTTTGACAGTTGTGAGATGAAAGTTCATTGTAGGATATTTATTTTGGTCTTCTGGACTCAAGGGAGGTGAATGGCTGGGCCAGTGGTTTTGATATTAATTATCTTAGAATGTGCTGGAAAGTTATTTTTCTCCTTTGTTTGAGGAAAATTGAGAATCTGAGGCAACACAGGGACAAGGAATTTTTAGAACACTACTTGAGTGGGGAAATGAACTTTTTCAGGCAAAAGTCTAGAAAGGTGAGTTAGTAAATTAGAGAGAAGGCATGTATTGGCCAAAGACAAATGGGAAGAGCCCAGAATTTGGGGGAAATAACACACTGTGCATGCACACATGCATACTTGCACACATGCACGCGTGGACACGCACACACACATATACACACAGTGTCTTCATATTTCTGGTCACGTTGCTTGTAGTCACTGGTGAACCAGCCTTAGCTGGAGATCTTTCACCTTGGTTCCCATTTCACACCTTTTTCCAACTCCATCCTATCTGCTCTGGCCTTTCTCCCGCCCTTAGCCTTCTATGACCCACCTCCAGTTTTTGGAATCTCCTAACTGAACAACAGAATGTTATCTCTCCTGTCTTCCAGAAGGGAGTTGGTATTAGCCTTGTAAGCCTAAGCACCTGAAAGTTACACAAATCTTCCTCTCGCTAACATTAATATTAATAGGCTCTCAGAGCATTGGTGTGAAGTGAAGGAAAGGTCTGTCTTTTAATGATGTTTTCCAAGGCTTGCTCTTAATTCCTCCACAAGGAGGAATTCTCTCTTTTCCTAAAAGAGAGAAAGAGGATAAAGCACCTGTTCTGCCTTGTTAGTGAGCTAGCAGGTATGTGTTTATGAGACCATTTGGGGAAAGAGAGTCTTGAGTCACTAATGACTTGTGGCTCATTTCTAACTAAAGAAGCCTGGACCATGCTGGAGAGGTAATTCAGTGGTAGTGTGGCTGCCAAAAATATGCAAGTCCCTGAGTTCCATCCCAACACCTCAAGAAAACAAAACAAACAAAGAAATTTAGACCATTGGATAATCAACTCATATGGGGTGAGAGGGGGGAGTTCCTGTGATTGTAGAGCTAATTGAAACACCCTGTCAAGAAATCTAGAGACCTCATCTCAACTCTGCTATTGGCAGGCCAAGTTGGGGCAAGTGATTTTTCTTTCTAGCTACAGCTTGTCCAACAATGTAGTATTAACAGCAATAGTTGGAGTAATTATAACATAAGAAGAAGGAAAAAAATGAACAAGAAAATGTTTGAATGTTTTTTGAGGGCTATGAGCCAGATACTTTACATGTGTTCTCTGAGCTAGATGGACAGCCATCATGTAAGTTAAGTACTATTTCTCTCAAGCTCTTTCACCATTAAACTGCCACTTGCTCTTCCATTGACCACCCACAGCTTTAACTTCCGGTCTAGGACAGCCTTGTTCCCAAACATCTGACATCATTTGTAATTATTTTATGTGTAGATTCTTTTTGGTCCACCCTACTCCTCCAGGATTAAGCTCCATGATAGCCAGAGAGTGACCTTTAAAAGTTTGTCTTTTCTTTGATATGTTTACTTTTCTGTACCCCCAAAACTGGATCAAGGAAGTAGTCCCTTAAACAACTAGTATAAATGAATCCATCAGTGAGCCTGAACTGAGGAGATATGGGAGGTGAGCTTTGGAGAAGTTGAATTACTTTTCCAGTGTCACACAGCTAGGCATTCAGACCTACAGTTCTGTTTTACCACCTAAGGTGAAATGGTTGGGCTGTACACTGGAAGTAGGGGATTTCCACAATTTCCTCCTACTCACCGTTTCTCCACATCACCAGAAAGAATGTCCCCTGTCCACCCTACCTGCCAAGAGCCTACAGTCCCCTCTTCCCACTGTGTCTTGATGTATTCCAATTATAGAACCAGGCCCCTGGCAGATACATGCTGAAGGGGTTGAATTAACTCTCCCAGACATGAAGTTAACTGTCCCTGTAATATGTTATTCACTCAGCAGGATCCCATTCTTCCAGTTTTCTACAGACATTATCTGTTTAAATCCTCACCAAACCCATGTGAATTTGATATCTCTCACACAGTATGAGTTCCCTTTAATCAGTGAGAACCGTGCAGGAAAAAAAAAAAAGGAACAAGAAAGCTACAGGTATATGTATCAACTGAGGTACCATGTCTTATGCTTTCAGAGCGCAGTAAAGGCTAAAAGGAAAAACAATATGTATGGTTTCTATAGGCAAACTCCTCCTTCCACAAATCTAACATTTGAATTAAATACATTACTATCATTCTATCTGAAGTTCATTAATGGTGGTATTATTAATGCCTTACTGCATTAAAAGCACTGTGATTATAAAATGAAAAGCCATTTTATAGCTGTTAAGCACTGAAATTAACAGATTTAGTTTTATGCCCGTATACTTTAACTTGCTACATGTTAGTGTCCTAAGGACATGCAGTAGTTTCATTTTTCTTTCTTTCTTTTTTTTTTTTGGGGGGGGGGGGGGTCCGGTCATGGGACCTGAACTCTGGGCCTGGGCGCTGTCCCTCAGCTCTTCAGCTCAAGGCTAGGGCTCTACCACTTGAACCACAATGCCACTTCCGGCTCTTTTTTTCTGCTTGTGTGGTGCTGAGGAATCGAACCCAGGGCCTCAGGCATGCAAGGCAAGCACTCTACCACTGAGCCAACTTCCCAGCCTGGTAGTTTCATTTTTAATGCAACTATTTGGAGGTGGTTGTACTATCCTTCCATATTTTTAATATAAAAATATAACATTTCACAAACACACATGCCTTTATAACACTACTGTCACAAGAAGATGGGATCATATGTGTTATGTGTTTTACGGATGAAGAAATTTGGAGAACGAAAGGGCTGTCTATTGGGGTTTTGAATGCCATTACTATTCTTTCTTGTAGAAGGCTTATCAAAATCTTATCTTGACATGAAAGAAGGGCAGGAGTTAGGATATCCAATATTATGCAGTGAGATGTGCACTTGAACATCGAACAATTCAAATCACTAATCATTAAACAATTTGAATCATTTCCTTTTTAATCCTGTGGATATTAAGGACTGACAGGAAGAGAATATTTAAGCCACAAGAAGTAACTAAACCCACACCACAGCCTTCAGCCCTGCATTGTGTGCCTCTTCCTGATTTGGGGCAGGGAAGAGGGAGTTGCTAAGTAGCTTTTCACAGCTGTCAGCTCCGTCAATCAGGCCAACGAGGAAGAAAAGCAGAGAACAGTCAGGTTTGGTGGTTTTTTTAATTTCTGACTACTTAGATGTTGTTTCACTGGGACTAAAAGTCATTCAGATTTAGTTCGGAATTAAGTCTGTAGTTCTTACTTGACAGCCTGCGACATCTGATCCAAAAAACACCCACAATGTTAGCATTTATTGAGTATTTACACTGGGTCACCCTTGCTAACACACCTCAATACATTTTGCTCTTTCTATATCAAATATATTGCTTGGCTGGCTTGCTTCTATTTTAAAAAAAAATACTGGTTTTTAAAATGAATAAAAGTGCCACACATATACACCACAGGACCACAAAGATTTTATGATTCAGTCCTTGTTAGCCAGTTTTTTATCACTGATGTTTAGTAGTCGATTAAGAAAACTAAAACTTGGGGTTTCTTGTGTGTGTTTTTTTTTACACTGGCTGAGGCAGCAGGTGTTACAGAAAATATTCCTTTCACCGCTGAACTGTCTGGACAGGTGATCTTGTCAGTGCCAGAAGCCTTCTGCCCCACAGTCATGGTTTGTCACAAACAGCAAAACAGCCCACAAGAGTTATTGTCATATTATTTTGTTGATAAGGAAAACAAGTGCTTGGGGACACTAAACAATGTTCTCAAGGACATGTATCAGAGCCCACGCATGGACTTGACCCCTACAGAGCAAATAACTCCTCTCACTGTGTAGGGAGAGACCTAATAGTGACTCCAAAATTATCATAAATTTGGATATTACAGTATGTGTTAGAGTTACATACATTTGGTCAAATTTCTATAGTGATAAGCAAGAAATTCTCTAGCTGAACTATGAAGTAGACCTTCCTGGAATCTATTTTTTTTTTCCTATAACTCTCCTTGGGGTTTTCTGCAACTAGGTTTTGGTGCCTACCTCCCCAGAGATTTATGTTTTTCCCCAGGATCAAGAATGCCATTAACTAACAGGCACAAAAGCTTTTAATAGTTGACTTGGAAACAGCAACTAAAATGAGAGATCATCACCTCTGAGAGTAAGGCTGAACTAAACTCAGATCTTGTGCTCTGAAGTAAAACTTCCTAGATAGCAACACTTCTTCAATGCTTTAACTCTAGAATTCAGTAGCCATGCTTACTGGAAAAAAGAACAGTCTATACTATTTCCAAAGATAGATCACATTCATTGCAAAATAGACCGCCATGCAAAAAGGTTAAAAAAACAAACAAACACACACACAAGGAAACACCTTAAATCCATCCTACTTGGAGAGATCCGTGAGTAATTCATTGGTGCATTTGGTGTCCAGGTCTGTAAGGGCTGACATCTCTACCTTTCAAGGCATGTGAGATGACCTACTCAAACATAATCATTTTGTCAGTGTCTTGAGAGATTCTCCAAGAACTAGTTCTCTCGCATTCTGGAATGTGCTTTAGACTTTCAGTCCCCACCCATCGATCCTCTTAACTTTCATCCTCCAACCTGAAACAAAGATGATAACTCACCTTCAGAAAGACTGCACCTTCCGCAACCTAGGCATTCCATTCCAAGTTAGAGATCTCACAGAGGAACTTTACCCTAACCACTGTCTTCCCTTTGCTTTCTCTGCTCTCTACAGCTTTTTGCCATCTTTGCATTTGCAACATGCGGTGGCTATTCTGGAGCCCTGCGGCTGAGTGTGGACTGTGTCAACAAGACAGAAAGTAACCTCAGCATCGACATCGCATTCGCCTACCCATTCAGGTAGGAACTGGCCGTCTGCCCTCCCTTGCTCACTGAGAGGGGGCCTTCTTCCTTCTGTGGTTTCTCAAAGAAAAAAATACGTTCTCCTAGGTAATTATGGGTAAAAAATATTCTGCTTCAACCCACAAAAATACTTAAACTACATCCCCTCACCATCCCTGGAGAAGAATCCCCTCTCCTCCAAAACAACAAACAAAAACAGCCTCCAAACTATCACCCATAATAGAGACAGTCAACAGAGATTACCATTAGGGACTTCCTTCCTTCCCATGCCTTTACTGCAACCTCAGAATCTCTCTAGATTTGTGGGTCATCTGTGATTTTATACTGACTATACAATTCTGGCTGATAGTGTGCTTAATAATATCAACCCCTAATATCTCCATGTGTCCTGCCTTTTATTATACTTAGCTGTTTACCTGTTCAATCTAAATGAGTGCAATAATCATTTGAGACAGAATGCTATAACCATTGACATGTATAAATGAGAAAACTTAGATGCCAATACTTTTATCCACCTTCCCCCACCCAGCCAGAGTTGCAGTTTGAGCCCACTTAGCTTAAATAAAGAGCTCATCTTATGTCTCTAATGCTACCCTAAACTTACTAGAAAGGACTCCTCGAATCTCTTTGTCAATGCAGTAAGAAATATAATGCATTGATCTGTTTTTGTGCCCCGTGTCTATAAAATGATGACTAAGTGCTCACAAGGCTTTTCTCTGTGATCTCAACCATAAACCTGACATAGATTAACTGAACTCAACATTAAAATGGGTTCTTTTAAACTCCCAAATAATTCTTGTCAAATAGCTAGTGTGATTCAAAAAGAAAAAATCATTTTTGGTAACTTACTAGCCTGCTTCCCTCTTTACTACCCTTTATCCCTGACACGGCTTGGGCCTATGACTGCAGAGAAAGGAAAAATCAGCCCCTGCAAACTTGTCTTTAAACCAGTAAGTACAATGATTTCCTAAAACACCTACCAACTCTTACTAGAAATAATGGGAAGGAGAAAGGAGAAAATAAAAAGAAGGAAGGGAAGGAGAGAAAAAGGAAGAGAAGCTAGAAGACTTTTAAAATATAATTAAATACATTCAAGAAATACTTCTTAGCTTTTTATAATGTGCAGTTTCAATCACCAAGGGAGACAAAGATTTCCCAATGTATTTGTCCACGGGAACTCTTTTCACTGAATGTCTCAGAGGATTTGTGTATCTTGGAAACCGTCAACATATTGGTCTAGTGGGTGTTTCCTAATCTAAACCACAAGTGCCCCCATTCATAGGTGGCAAAAATTGCAGAGAAGAGGCAGTTACGCTAACATTCTGAGGGGTTTTGAATATTTGCACTGACAACATTTAAACACCCTTGCTCAAGAAGTCCCCAAACTAGAAGAAAGAGAGAGAAAGAGAGAGAGGGGGAGAGGGAGAGAGAAAGAAAGGAGGGGGGAATACAAAGCTCAAAATATTAAGAATGACATCCTGGAATCTGGCTTCACTGTGTTGATGGAAATGGGTGTGGATGTTTTTAGCATTTCTGAATACTGTGGATAAACCCTGGCTTCTAAAGGAGAATGGACAAGCTGACATCTACTCACTGATCCTATGTATGAAGTAGCATTGGTGCTAAGAGCTGCCAATGTCCAGACAACAGGGCCAGAATGCTTCGTAACATTAGTCATGAAATCATAATGCCTGCATTGCTTTCACAGTAATTTGTTCACTGAAGATAGTAGAATCGAGAAACTCCAAGGGCAGTCCTTGGCAATTTGAAGAGCAACAGGTCACGAAACAGTGCATTATTATGTGCTAATTGCACCAAAGTGGAAATTAGTGTAGATATATTTGTGTGTGTAAATATCTGTATCTCTATGTATTTACATGATAAATGCAACAATATTTTGCTGTATTTTATAATTTGGAGGGGTGTTAATGATAAATCTAAGATGGCAAGTACATTAAAAAATTAAATGTAATTAATTGATTCATTTGAGACATAGTCTTTCTCCGTAGCCCAGAGAAAGATCCATGATCCAAACTCATGATCCACCTGCCTCAGTTTCCTGCATACATACGGCACCATGTCCAGTTTTTTAAAAGACATTTTATTGTGCCAGAATTCATTTACTATATAACTCACACTTTAAGGTGTGTAATTCACCAGTTTTTAGTATATTCTCAGAGTTGTTAAGATCCTAAAATTTTAATTTTCCTCATATAGGAAAAAATGGAAAGAATCAGTAATTTTCATGTGATTGTTGTTAAAAAATTTTTTAGTATTTTTCTCTTACTGTGTTATTCTACAAAAGCCTGACTAAATCAAAAAGGTAGCTACCAGTAATAAATTTATCTTTAATTTAAAAAAAACAGTGCATTATTAGAGCACAGGACTACTGGTCTTTCCCACAAACTAGAATAGAATAATCAAGACACCTATTGGATTAGGAACTATTGAATTAGAAACTGGTGCCTGAGCCGGAGTGGACATAGACATCAGAGTGATATTTAGTTTCATACAATCTAAGAGTACGAATTGAGGTGACTCCTCCAGCAGTGTTCAGCACTGTGCTTTCTTCCTAAGACTGTAAAAAGTCCCATAGTTGACCTAGAACTGGAGAGATCAGATAAAAATATTTGCTGCCACTGTAAGAATAGAAGCCCCTCATTTGAAAGGTTTTTACGCAGGTCCTGACACAAAGATGCTCAACCATTGTTTCTGAACAGAGCTTTTCTCTCAAACACAGTCTTGCTCAGGAGCTCCATATATAAAGCCAGTATGAGTCACTGGGAACAGTGAAGCAGGGGAGGGGGGCAGCTTAGAGCATACAGCTTGCTCCCTTTAGCTTTTCTCCTGCCACATATCTGGCTCATCTTCTACTGGTAAAGTCGTTTCTGCAAGACCTCCCTTAACCCTAGCTCTCCTAGGAGCAATTTTAAAACCCACTGTTTTAGGAAACAGAAAGAAAGAGAGACCCTTTGTCACTGAGCAGCATTTAATGTGCAGAGTTAAAGAGTCAGGCTTTGCTTCCCTCCTTCTGACAGAACACCGTGATATTTGAGTGAGCAAGAGGCTTGTGCTATAACTCTGGGCAAAGTTATTTTCAGCCACGCATTGGTGGTGCACCTATAATACTAGCTACTCAGGAGGCCGAGTTCTGGGGATCATGGTTTGAAGCAGCCCAGGCCAAGAAATCCATGTGACTCATATCCAATTAACTGGCACAAACTTAGAACTGGAGGCATGGTTCAAGTGGCAGAGTGATGGCTGGGAACAAGGAAGCTGAGCTGGATCTTAAGGTCCTGAGTCAAAGCCCAAGTAGCGGCACAAGAACAAAACAATAACGTTACTTTCTCCTAAAACTCTGCAAGCCAATGACAATGATTCCAGCATGATTCTAGAAATAAATTAAGTGCTTTCAAGGGTTTTTAACTATTCAGTTTATTGCAAACTCAAATTCCAAGGCATAGGAACAAAAGTAGTTATTTACTTAATTAATTAAAGGCAGCAACTTAACTGTCATCATACAGATACCTCAATATATAAGATTATGTCAACCAGGAAATTCTAGCTAGCATAGTGCCATCTTCTAGTGCTACTTCTAATAAGTACAACAGAATGTGTATCTCCCTTTACACCACATGTGCATAATTTTTACTCAGATCAGAAAGAATTGCCACACAGCACTATACCATTGCAGTATAGAAATAAAATATTTATCATGTGACCTTCCTTTGGATTTGTGATTAAACTGGGCAATTGGTATTAAACTGTCTTACTTATCTACTGCAATGTGCTAGCTTGGTATAAAACTTGCTTGATAATTAGAAGGAGAGTAGATCTGGACCCAATGGTTTCAATACTTCTTTTATACACTGACATGTTAAGGTAGCATTTCTCAGTTTAAAGTACTTAATATATTTGTAGAAAGCTGATTTTAGGATTGTCAGTGCTTTACTAATACATAGCTAATGATAGAGGAGGTCACAGTTGAGCTTTTTTATTTTTATTTTTTAAATCGGTCCTGGGCCTTGAACTCTGGGCTTGGGCGCTGTCCCTTAGCTCTTCAGCTCAAGGCTAATGATCTACCACTTGAGCCACAGTGCCACTTCTGGTTTTCTGAGTGGTTTATTAGAGATTAGAGTCTCACAGACTTTCTTGCCTGGGCTAGCTTTGAACCGTGATCCTCAGATCTCAGCCTCCTGAGTAGCTAGGATTAAAGGCACGAGCCACCAGCGCCCCGGCACAGTTGTGCATTTTAAGGGCTAGGGAAAATTTAGAAATAGAATCAATTAGTCAATTTTGGTATTGCGATAAAGTAAAATGGCAGGTAGCCATTTAAAATCATTTTCTCAAGTAATATCTCAAATCTGTAGAGAGCTTCTTGTTTAGAATACAATATGATTTAAGCTCATTTTATACTATCTGGCTGCCACAACAACGGCCTCTGCCATCCACTTGTTCTGTCCCTCCACCATTCATGCCTACGCTTCTGAGAGCTAGCACCCGAGCCCAGTGGTTTTCTCCAGCCAAAAGAACTTGCTTGGTTAATAGGCAGAGCAGACAAAATAAAATTACTAGGAAGTTAATGTTCCCCTGAGCAACACTTGTTCAACAACAGTGCAAATTCTGCCCTTCACGTGCTACAAGTCAAGGCATGTTCCACATTATTTCTCAGAGGTGCCCAGCAGGAGTGCTCCACCCTACTGTGGAAACCTGATCATTAGCAGAGTGTATATTCCCTTCTTTGCCATTCATGTCTCCTCTCAATACTGCCCTTCTAGTGTGTTTAGGGATGAATCCTCCAAAAATAAGTTGCATTCAAATCATGATCTCAGGGTCTGTTGCTGAGAAATTCAAGCTAAGACAATGACATTGCCAGGGAATATCAACATCAATTAAAAAAAAAAGATAGATAAATGTATTAGTTCATCCACTGGCCAAGTAATTGAGTAGATCTCTAGTTACTACCTAAATCCTGTTATGTAATGTTACTCACACAA